TTTTTTTTACTTTTTTAAAGATAATTGTGTTGGTTTTAAAATATGGTTAATTGTGAATTTACTCATTATATATGGGAAATGTACAAAATTAAAATTATTTTACTCGGAAGAAATAGGCTAGGTCACTACTTTCACACATTAACAGAAACAAGATATAACAAATCAAAAATAAAAAAAAGCTGTTACAACTGTCCGTTGTAAGTAATGCATGTTAACAGCTTGTCAAGATGCTGATTTACCTTTTTTCTTTATTTATTTTTCTTGATGTAACTGATAATTGCTATAATTGCATGTACATTGTTGAAGAGATTTGCAACAAGATTGTGAACAACTACATTTCCCATCGTTCGAGACTACATTACCCATAAAGCCCCGCGCTTGCATTTGTCGGATTGTGCTTGGGGGGAAAAAGCGTAATATTGTTCCAATGATCGAGAATCAATAACATTCAAACCTTCTACATAAAACATCTGTTAAATTGGTAAGATAAAAGCTTTTCATCCAAATAATTGGAAATTGTCGTTTTGTTTTTTCAGAAAGACGGCAAATGTCATAAATGTTGAGTTAATGGAAGCTAGCTAGCTAATGAGTTTATCATCTGCTTTATTAATCATCCCACTGTCGAAATTCATCATGAAAACTCTTGTAATATATTAAATGGATATTTTGATGATCCAGTACTTCTGTTTAGCCAGACAGAATACAGCTTCAGTGACAGATAACATTTAGTCTTGCTATAACTATCATACGGCATTTTTCAATTATTAAAAATCAAGGACACTTTATTCACAATAAATTATTAAATACCTTATTTACAATTAAAAATCTATTTTCTGCTTTAAAAATTATGGCTGTCATTTGGTTCATCGTGTTTCTCTTCATAGACACCGAACCTGTCAAACCTCAAATGTGAAGGAAAATGCTTATTTAATTTCTCATAACTGTGATATTTTGCTCATTATATTTGCTCAAGCTGTTTTGCAAATTTAATAGCTGTTTATTTCAAAATAGCGATGATAGTCGTTTTATAATAATGACAGTAATATTAATATATTTTATTTGTTAATAAAAAAAAAA